CAAAATGCTTGCACTGATGGAACAACCCTCATCAATTCTAGTCAGCATGACCAGTGATCAGCAATGATAGTAATTGTAGTCCAACAGCATCTGCAGGGCTACAGGATAGCCTCCCCTGCTTTAAATGCTCATGGGATGGATCAGAAATTGAGTGAACGCTATTCCATGCAAACTGCCACTTCTACATAAAGGAAACTAGCATGTCCGGGAGGACCAGTGGGAGATACAACAGAGAGAGGAGAGGGAAAGATGTATTAGGAAAAGATTGAGGGAAGAACATATATAAATACAGTGAAACACACTTAGGTATTGCTTCATCCGGAAGCGAGGAAAAAGGCAGGAGTGAGGAACATTTTCACCCTTGGGGTAGTCTCTCAGGGGTAGTCTGTTGGTGTGGTCATGTGCAAGTAGGGCTGGGGAATAAATTTGATTCAATTCACATTTAAAGACAAACACACCTAATTCACTCTTTTCAAAACAATACACAAACCAATATAAAGCCATGCTTTGAAATTTGCATTTCTCTGAATTTTTCAAATGCAGCTCTCCTGTCAAATAGTGTGGCTGGTGTGTGTGTGTGAGAGAGTGCATGCGCGTTATGATAAGGCATGCTTTAAATGCGTGTGTTAGAGAAAATAGCATACAAAATTGCACTGCATTAGGGGAAATTGCCTTGCCAAAGGTAAAACTGAATTTTTAAAAAGTATATATGAGAAGAAATTCTCACTAAAATGTGGGTGAATGTTCATGTGGAAAAGTGGAGAGCTGAAATTAGCTGCAGAAAGGTGAGAAAATGAGAGAAACAGAAATTGCCTGCCCATCGCTACAGACAAGCAGCGTAAGGGACTGGAGCAGTGGGAGGGGAGACCCAAAAGACAGCAAGGTCAGAGCCACACCCACCCACACCACCCGCCCATAAGCATCCAAAAGGCTTCCTGGAAGAGGCGGGTATCAAGAAAGACAGAAAGGCAGCATTGTATTTTATAAAAGGAGAATCTACCCCTCCCTCCAAAAAACCCCAACTTGCACCTGCCCCAAATTTCCCTTTGCTACCCTTCAGTTAAAGATTTTTAATTTTAAGCCCAGCATCTTTTCACGAATATGTCTTGAGTGCTTGTGGCACTCATTACATATGAAACTGGGGTAAACGTCATCCATCATTATGAGGTCTGTCAGCAGTTAATAGAGGTAAAACCAACTGTCAGTAAGAGCTGGGCTCTAATCCGCTGGTGCAGGTGCAAAACAAGATGGAGATCTACTGGGAATCTAATTTATTAAACATATGATAAAAGCCTATTATCTGTAATGGCTCAAAGATAAGAAGTCTATTAAAGATTCTTCCCACAATGAAGCTTGGCTGGTTCTTGCTAGCTGAGGAGCTGGCCTTCTTTTTGGATTATTTCATGCTATAACAACCCAGGTGAGAGACAAGAATACCCTGCTGTATCATTTCTATATTTAGCCCAGCTCTCCAGTAAATTGCACTAATGATATACTGACATTTACACAACCTGTCTCAGGCATATCACACTTTGTCAATACTAAATGAGCCTGGCTATTTACATAGTCACCTATATAATTCCTCACGAGAGTTACTGGCAGTGTACATTTTTCTGGCTCTTAAGAAACCCCCAGTTGGAATTTTACAACTTATAGCTATGTTGGCGATTGTCTATAAAGTCAGATATTAAATCTGAAAATGTTGTCTTGTGTGTTTTGCACCTTGCCTGCCCTGCAAAGAAAAGGAGGGTGGGAGTTGATGTTTCATTAATGTGGCAATCAAATAGGAGCAATATTATTTCATAGCATATTGGCAAAACCATTTTTCCTTTTACTGTTTTATCATATTAGAGGATGTACATCATAGGAACCTGGAGACATCCAACATAATGAAATACTTGGTGGGTTAGCATTGGGAATAGCTACTTCTTTTTGTCTTCACATTCTACTCTGTTTTTCTCTTTGAAACTGGAGTAAAGTGTTCAGGAACAAGAGTTTTCCATCTTTTCATGGTACAGTACTGAATACAATTTGTTGTCCAGCTGTGCAAAAAATGCCTTGATGTCTTCAATATAAGTGAATACAGTTTCTGGTAAATTAAAAATATGCTCTTTCTTGCAGAGCAGTATGTTAATAATATTGATACTGTTGTGAACTGCCATGAGATGATGGTGATGATTGGCGGTATAGAAATATTTTAAGTGAATGAATTAAACAAACACAGAGAGAATATACCGACATTGTGGCTAAATGCTTAATGAAGCTTTGTAAGGTAAAAGTTCTGGAACTTAGAGAGTTGCGGAATCATACAGCCTAAACAATAAAACAATTGCCTTAGAATCTATATGAAATGTTTCTTTAGATTTGGACACTGCAAAAAATAATATTTTGGATATACTGAACTCCACAGTGTTTATATAGGAAGGCACTGTCAAATATAGATAGATGTTGGAGGTGTAATGCTGAACATTTCTTGTTGAGGCATATGATTGTTAGTTTCTCTTCTTATCACTGTGCAGCTGCGTGGAGTCACAGGACTCTGTTTACATTCCAGAGACCTTGAAGTCTCACGGGAAAGGGAGACGGGATGTGACGTTAGTGGTTTCCTGTTTCCTTTATTGCTTTGTTCCTTTGTTCAGTTGCTCTCTGCTTTCATAGAGAGAGGATGTCTTTTCTGTTCTGCGTAGTTTAGAAATAAAACTCTTTACAATGTAACCAAACCTCTTGTCTCTTCCCTGTGCTGGGAACCCTGCTGGATAGAATGTGCTTGAGGCCTTATCAAAGGCTCAGGTCATTAAACACGTCAGAGGTGATTTCAAAGGCTCAGCTCAGAGGAAGATGGGGCCTTATCGGCTTGGACGAGCGGAGTTCCGACAATGATGTGGGCTTGTCCAGTGATATATTGTCTTTGGTCTGAAGTTCTTGTCTGTATCGCTTTTGTATTGGCACAATCCTTGAAGTTTGTAGGTGCCAGTATATGTTCATGTACTTTAAAATTATATTTCTGCAGTGTGGGTATTAATGACTCTTATGGTCACTGAGACTTATACTTCAAGCCTGGAAGAAGAGAAACCCTCTGTCTATTATGCAGTGATTTGAAGAAATCTCTGCCCAAGTTACATTTGAACATATTTCATATAGACACCAGTTTCATGTAGATACCTTAGTTCAACATCTGGAGGGCTTATATTACTTGTTATGCTTAACGTCTGGTGATATTATTATTATTATTTAATGATCATTTAATTTAATTTTCTTTTTGCTAAATTTGTGAATTAAAAATTAAGACATATGAAAAACCAACTTGGCTAATATGGCCAGAACTCTCTGTCCCAGGCAGCTCTTTCATCAAGTTGACCATTGGGGATTAGAATAACTATATATAATTGTACTATATAATTGTCTTATGAAATTGAATGCCTCTACTGTGCTACTTTTGTCATTTTTAACTATTAAATTTTTAAAGTACTGTTATCCCAATTTCATTTACCTATTTTAGTAGTTTTCTTAAATGAATAATAATAATAATAGCTGGGAGCAAGTACAGATGCAAGAAATTGCCTTCCAAGAGAAGTGCAGTGCGCTTTCTTCTGATCCTCTGAGCATCAGTAAGTCAACAGCTTGACTCCCTGAAGGGATTTTGTGTAGAAACATAAAGTTTTGTCTCTGTTATTCAGCATTACATTGTCAGCAGCAATGATTAAAAAAAATCCTAAAGCAGGATGCAAATGACAAGGGCAACATATGGGGCCAAGTGGCAGAAGACATTGCAGGCTGTTCTGGGCTTGGTGTTATAGATATTATAGCAGATGGGATGCTTCAGCAAAACATATATCTTCACAGGGAGTCAACTACTGACGTTTCTTAATCAGAGATTTCTTCTCTTTAATCTGGGAGATCTGGGAGTGGCACAGTGAGAGATGAGAGCTCAGTGGCATTGCATGGTACCCCATACATTACCTTGGTATAACCAGTTTATATTCAGGACCTCATGGCCCAGCGTACCTGATGTCATGGAGTAATTTCCTCCTTCAAGCACTCCATAACCAACTGAGTATGAGGATTTCCTTTCAGTACATGGCCTGGTGTGTTGTGTACTTGCAGTCATTTGGAGCTATCACACCACAAACCCTCAACTTCGATGGACCTGAAGAAGATAATGTAGCTTGTCTGTCGGATGGGACGGGGGTGGCACTGTGGGTTAAACCACAGAGCCTAGGACTTGCTGATCAGAAGGTCGGCGGTTCGAATCCCCACGACAGGGTGAGTTCCCGTTGCTCGGTCCCAGCTCCTGCCAACCTAGCAGTTCGAAAGCATGTCAAAGTGCAAGTAGATAAATAGGTGCCGCTCTGGTGGGAAGGTAAACGGCATTTCCGTGTGCTGCTCTGGTTCACCAGAAGCAGCTTAGTCATGCTGGCCACATGACCCGGAAGCTGTACGCCGGCTCCCTCGGCCAATAAAGCGAGATGAACGCCGCAACCCCAGAGTCGGCCACGACTGGACCTAATGGTCAGGGGTCCCTTTACCTATTTTTTACCTCTTTTGCAGGTGCTTTAGGGTGTCCACCAGGCCAGACAATTCTGTCTCCACCTGCAACTGCCACCTGCAATACTTGCCAATTGTGCCCAAATTCAGAAGCCAGTCAGTGGAGTGAGCCCACCATACTTAGAGAGTATGGCAGAAAAAACGTGTAGCTTAGGATAATTATGAGAGACACTCAAAAATTCCTATTCAGTCCCCTTTCAACAGGCAAGTAGCTAATCCCATACTCCTTGGAGAAAGGGTCCGGTGGAGAAAGGGTCCTAGGGACATGGACACATTTTAAAGGGGAGCCCTGCCCATTCTACTGAGCATGCTCAAGCCTGGTCCCACCACATCTTCCTTCCTTTGCTGAGGGGCTAGGGCAAACCCACCACCAGTGAATGCTGGAGGAGTACCCTAATTTTGGCACATGGCAGAAATTCTAGTGTTGTTAGGTTCATAAGGAAGGAGCCATAACAAGGGCTGTAGCTCAGTGGTAGAGCACCTGCCTTTCATGCAGGAGATCCCAGGTTCAGTCCCTGGTGTCTCCACGTCAGGTGGAGATTGTCCCCTGTCTAAAATCATGGTTAGTTGCTGGGAGTCAGTACAGATATATTCCGCTAGATGGACCAATGGTCTGACCTGGTATAAGGCAGCTTTCTATATTCCTACGATCCTTAATGAACACAGTGATGTGGTCATGTTTTCGAAGGCAAATCAGGTCAGTTTATTTTTTTAAAAAAAGCTACTATGAATGGAAATTTAGAATTAGATCTGCCAGAAGGACCTTTTAAGGCTACCTGCCGGAGTCTAGCTTGTGCAGAGCAATAGCAATATGACTCCAGATTTTGGTACCCAAGACTGCTGCAAAATGTGGAATCAGGAGTTGGATTGGAGGGACAAGTGCAAAGCTACAATAGTATGACTGCCAAACCAGGACTGATATTGGGCATTTTAAGCACTGTCAACGTCAATTTGACTACACAAGCCAAAAGAACAAAACAAAATCCCTTTTACTGGTGACCAAGGCAATTGTGAAGAAGTTCCTGAGTCAGGAGTACTATTTCTCTGCTCAGCATGTATACCAATTGCCAAGCTGTTAAATCTGTAAGAGAAATTAAATTTTTAATAATAAAGTGATTCACAATATAGTCTATGGTACTTGTATTATATGCATGTGCCTTTCTTTTTTCTTTTTACTCTTGTTCTCTGTGATAACCTTCTGCATTTCTATTTTCTGCAGCAGCAATGTGCAACTGTACCATGGGGCCAGTGGGACAAATTCATTTTGATTGTAAAATTCCATTGACACTAATGGAGTTTTATACCCAGAAAGAGTTTGGCACAATGTCCTTAGATTGCTTTTTATTCACAGTTTGAATCAGAATTGTTTTTCCCTTGTGGGCAATTGTGATTAAAGATTTCAAAAAGACCACCAATGCTTGGGTTTTATGGTGTGGTGTAAAACAATGGGACGTAGGGTTCGCTGTCGGCTAAAATAACAGATTATACAATACGTTTTGCAGCGTGACTTGTAACCCATGCAGGTGCTTTGGCTGCCCAGGTTTGGGAAAGCGTTTCAGCAGCTGACTGGTTACCATCCTGCGGAAAAGGAGATAGTACTGAGCTAAATGGTCTCTCTGAGGTCCATGTCAAACAATAGATACCACCAATTGAAGGCCATCAAAGCCTGACATTCTTGGCAGTCACTCCGAGACACTGGGATGGGGACGTTGTACATACTGGGGTACCACTGCATTGAAGGGGGTTTTGGTGGCCTCTCCATCTTTGCATACAAAACAGCTCCAATGTGAGAAAGAAATGGAAAGCACTATCAGCCCCTTAGATCCCATAAAAGTGTCACAAGCTGGGTTGATTTCCACAGTAGTTCCCCACCTCTGTCCTCCACCCCAGAATAGGGCTAAAAGATACGTCCGGGTCTGTGTGATTTTTCTCTGAGCCTGTATGCACTGTATTTTGAAATAGACCAGTTGCCTGCTGAGGAAAGAATAAAGTCATCTTCAAGGTGTGACATCCTTTGCCATCTGACTGAAAACCTAGGTACAATCTCTGTGGGGTGTTCGGGTCACCTTCCTTCATCTTCCGTTGGGACTCCAAGCTTTCTCTCGAGACAATAGAAGAGATTCACGTTCCTCCCAGCCCCCTCCAAAAAGAAACATTTTCATATGGATCATTATTTAAATGTGATGCCATCTGAGGTGATACAGTTACATGAGGGACCTGGGCCTGCACTGTTGCTGAATGTTTGGTATCACCTTATATGCAGCACTCTATATCTACATTTCAGAGCCCCATGAAAACACATCAAAATGCATGCCTAGTGATAGCATCAATTAATGATGTGCTTGTTTGCTTTGCCTTTGTAGATACCATAAGACCAGCTAAGATCTGCCTCTCAAGGCAGTCACAGTGCATAGGTACTGTATAGGTGGGAGTCAGATTGTTATTGGGTATGTGGGAAGGTACCATAGAATAACAGATCAATGTTCCATATGGCTCGATATTATTATGATTGGCGGCAGCTTCCCAGAGTTTCAGACAGGAATATTTCCCAGACCTACCTGAATATTCCAGTGGATAGCAGTAACAATACTGCCGAATGCTTTATATTTTATTCTTAATGAGAGTCACATACAAAGGAGGGAGGGAGGAAATAGAATTCATGTATGTAATAATAGAGTTCATGTATGTAAGTATGTAAGTATGGGACATGGGTGGCGCTGTGGGTTAAACCACTGAGCCTAGGACTTGCTGATCAGAAGGTCGGCGGTTCGAATCCCCACGACGGGGTGAGCTCCTGTTGCTCGGTCCCTGCTCCTGCCCACCTAACAGTTCGAAAGCACCTCAAAGTGCAAGTAGATAAATAGGTACCGCTCCAGCGGGAAGGTAAACGGCGTTTCCATGCACTGCTCTGGTTTGCCAGAAGCGGCTTAGTCATGCTGGCCACATGAAGCTGTACGCCGGCTCCCTCGGCCTATAAAGTGAGATGAGCTCCGCAACCCCAGAGTTGGTCATGACTGGACCTAATGGTCAGGGGTCCCTTTACCTTTACCTTATGTAAGTATGAAGTATTTATATGGCAGAGAACTTAACTTTTAACAGTATTTGAAGATGTCACAATGTAGTATTCTTCATGCCTGCAACAAATACTTAAAAAATCAGCTGTCAATAAAATTCATACTAATGCTCCAAGTGAAGTCTTATGAAACAACATGCATACAGAATGGCTGTAGTCTGCAAACAGTCCAGTGAAGCATTTGGTTTTAATTGACTGGGAGGAATTGAATTAAATCAAATTGTTCCAGTTAAAATACTTTGTGGATTTGGATGTCCATTTCTCTATTCCTTTGCTCCTTTGAAAATTTTAGAACATTATTCCTGTTGACTTCAAAGGTTATTTATACTCTCTGAAATTGTGATCTGCAAAGTGACAATCTATAAAGTCAGGAGAGATTGGTATGTATATGTTTTCCTGGTATATAAATGACTGATGTCCTTCACTGATGTAAAATATTATCACATTCCCAGCACAAACATTTGGAATGCAATATGCAGAATGAGAGATGCAGTCAGAGAAACTGGTTAAATTTTTATATTCTTTATTATATAAAAGTATTCTTTTTTAAAAGGAAAAAAAAAGGAACCAGCAGCAAATTAAAGTGGAAAGCTCTGCATTTGGTTTGCCCATTATTAGAAATGCACTTTCCCATTTTGGATCCAGATTGCTCTCTCTGCTTGGCATTGTCTCACAAATGAGTTGCTTTTTAATCTATACACTATCCATTTATTAAATTAAATTGTGAAGAAAACCTTACACTGGAGAAATACTTCTTTTTTTTATTAAAAAAATGAGCAGGAGCTTGCAATGTATTAATTGTTCCATATTTTTTGGCAAGGGATAACAAAAGACTATTAAGAGCAGTTCCCAAGCTCTTTTTTTCCTGGGCTTCTATTGGGTGTTGATTGCACCAAGCAGGTTTTCTCTTATCCATTATCATGTTACCGTGCAGAGTCTGATCTTCTGTACTGGAGTCAGGGAGAAGTACAAAAACAGAAGTACAAGGGTCAGGCATCTTAACTGGGGAGTGTGGGAGCTAAAGAAAACTTAGGAACTATATCAGGCCCAGAGGTCAAATGTGGCCCTCCAAGTCTCTTTACCTGGTCCTCAGGAACCTCCCTATACCACATGCCCTCCCTAACCACACCTGCTCTTCTCATCCCATACCCCTCTTCACTTGAGTGCTTTTGCTTGCTTAGAATGTGTTCTTGAACTCTGATATCGCCTTTTGCTTGTCTAGATGGAAGCTCAAAAAGTGTGTGTGTGTGTGTGTGTGTGTGTGTGTGTGTGTGTGTAGAAATTAAGGTAAAAGGTAAAGGTACCCCTGCCCGTACGGGCCAGTCTTGCCAGACTCTAGGGTTGTGCGCCCATCTCACTCTAGAGGCCGGGGGCCAGCGCTGTCCGAAGACACTTCCGGGTCACGTGGCCAGCGTGACATCGCTGCTCTGGCGAGCCAGAGCCGCACACGGAAACGCCGTTTACCTTCCCGCTAGTAAGCGGTCCCTATTTATCTACTTGTACCCAGGGGTGCTTTCGAACTGCTAGGTTGGCAGGTGCTGGGACCGAGCAACGGGAGCGCACCCCGCTGCGGGGATTCGAACCGCCGACCTTTCGATCGGCAAGCCCTAGGCGCTGAGGCTTTTACCCACAGCGCCACCCGCGTCCCTAGAAATTAGCCTACTGTAAAAAGGTAAATTGACATTGGTAGTTCCACTTTTTTCTCTGGCCTTGCCCACCACTGATAGCTGATCCCTCAAAGATTGTCCACAAAGTGGAGGCTGATGGTTACTTATCATTTAGGCAAACACATTCTAGACAAAAGGATTTGTCTTTACTTCATCTGTTCTTGGGCAGTAAAATGTTTGGGGGGGGGCTAGCAGGGGGGAGCATTTGTGTTGACCCAAAAAGGTGAACTGGTCTGAAAACCCTGCTTGCAGCATATTGATGGTCAAGATGACCCCCACCTAATTGGTACCAGCTGTAGCACTGAGCTTATCTGTGTTTCACACACTTTCATGTATCCACAGGCTCCTGGCATAGCTAGAGGGGAAGGATCCCAGGCAATGGTTAATACTAACCACCTGTGTTCCCATGTGACATAGCCTGCCTGGGCTTACAAAGGTTGTGTGTATTTTTATTTGGGTGCAGACAAGCCATCTCCTCACAGTGGAGTCTGTCCCATGGAATGCTGTAAGCAGGGGCAAGGAGGGAGCCATTGGACCTTAGCTGTAACATTGTACCCTTCTTTAATAAACCATTATACCTGATCATTCTGGTGGTTTGGGCATCTTTCATTGGAATTTCTGAAAATCTGAACTCCTGTGAGCTCTCCTCTGGCTCTGAAGGACGTTTCAGGCATTCCATTGTATGCTTTCCATCATATGATTTCTGAAGTGTTTATGCTTCGTAGTATTCATGGCTATGTTTGATTGGCATTGGTTGATCTCTGAATTCTAAAATCAAAACACATTTGCAACTTCTGTGATCACAGGTAGTACCTAGGGCAGTCTTTGCCAGTACGATGCCTTTCAGGTGTTTAACTACAGCTCTGGGCTGAGAGGAATCATACGTCAAGGCACCTGGAGAGGGAGCCATGTTGGTTAAGGCTGCCCTAGCATCTGACTTCAGGCTGTGGCTTCTTTTCTGACTTTTAAAACATGCAGGCCAAGGGATTGAGCTCATCACTGTGTTTGCCTGCTCTTTTCTTTTTGAAAGTAAACTGTAATGCTGGGGTGGCAGCTGGAAAGAGAGGAGCTCCTCAAAATTAGTCCAGCTGCATCTTTATCCTGTTGCAAAATCTAACTATCTGAGATTGCATCAGCAGCCAGCGATTGCCCACATGACAGAAGGCAGAAATGGAGATGCAAAGAATATTCTATGAAACGGACTAGAAATGAGTATTTTACTTTCTATCACTGGAATAGGAAATTATCCCTTTGACTTGTATGGAAAATGCCATTTTGTTCTTCATCGTTAGTGTTAATCCCCTTAAGTCACCAAAAGTAAATTATTCAGCATGCTGGATTCCTTGCATCTTCATATTCTGAATGACGTGAATAGTAATGTTAATATTTTAAAAATACATATACAAGTGGGAGGGGGAAGTACTGCATCATTTATGACCCTCTCTCGTATCGCCACTAGCTCCTCACTGAATCAAGTGGGTTTGGTATGTGAAGCAGCTGGAACCAAGGGTAGTCAAACCATGGGAACAAGTGTGAAATGTTGATACAATGCAGGGATGGCCCTCCAGATGTTGTTGGATTCTAGCTCCCCTTGTTGCTGACCACTGGCCATGCTGCCTGGGGTTGATGGGAGTTGAAGCCCAGCAACATCTGGAGGGCCACAGGTATCTCCATCCCTGATATGACCATAGACATCTTTCTTCTTCAGTGGTATGATGCCTGTAGCCAATGAAATCTTTGGCACAAAGCCTTTGCTCTGTAATAGATAATTCTGTAATAGACACTGGATCCCTTGCACTGGTGCAAGGCTCCATTTAGGAAAGCAAGCACTAGGGTGTTTTTTTCATTCTGCTACTGCAGATAAAGAGGGTCACAGGACTATGCCCTGCAAATGGGAATTTTCTGCCATCACTCCTGCCCTGTGGATTGCTATTCCCTCTGTCATGTGTGCAGCATCCTTCATCACTTGCTTCAGTTGTCTCCCAAAGACATCTTTTTTTGTGTGTGCTCAGGATTTCCTATAAAACCTGACCCTGTTATTACTAAATTCCTGTTTTCGTCCATTTTAAAATAACAATATTGCTGTTTTATGTTGTGTTCATCATACTGTCTTATTGCTTTTATGTTGTCTTTTTGCACATCGTTGGAGGTTTCAAAATATTAAGGGGTTTAGAAATGCTTTTCAGTTAATTAACGCTAGTCTCCCTGGATGGTAGGCTCATGATCCCAAAGGCTAAGTAATCCAGTCCCAGAACTATCCAATTCCTTGCCAAGGGTTGAACTGAGTGGGTCCGGAGAGGGTACCAGGGTACATTTCAAGAGCAGCATTAAGGAGAAGACATGGATGGGAATCTGTTTTCCAGAAGGAAGAGAAAGGAGGGTCAATGCAAGCATAATCCACTTCCACAGGGCTTGCCCTGTGCGTCTCTTACAGCAAAATACTGAAACACACACGTAGTATTGTAGCCTCTTAAAAACAAACCGATTTTTCTGTGTGAAAGACTCACTCTCTCTGGGAATATTTCGCTTAGAAGGGGACATCTCTCTCTGCCTTCCCTGCTTAATATCTCCTGCTAAAGAAGGGCTATTTCTTGGCGAGATCTTGCCTCTGAAGCTTCGTGAGGGCGCTTGGCGCTGGCCTGCCTCCCTCAGGAAACGAGTAACTAATTGCTCCGTGTGTCCCCCCCCCCCGCCTCTTGGCGACGGAGGGAGCGCCCCGGGGAGTCATCAGCGCCCGCTCCGGGGTCGATTAAGCTGCAAGTCACAGCCGGCAGCCCGAGCCCAGCGGCTCTCCGGGCGCGCCGCCTCTTTCCCGCAGCCACAATGGTTTCTTTGACTATTTATCGACGCCGCACAACAAGGCTGCTGTTTGCTCTGTCAACAGGAGCCTTTTCAGCTGCGAGGGAGCTGCGAAGGCGAAGCCTCGGCTGCCGTCGGGGCTCTCCGGTCCCTCCGCGTTCCAGCCCGCTTGCTAGCCCTGCCAGTTTCAATGATCACCTCTCTGTGGAGAGGAGGCAAAAGGTCTCTCAGGAGAGGCGAGAGGGAGATGCAGAACTTGCAGCCGCCCGCGAGGCTCACCTGAGAGAGAGGAGAGTTGCCAGAGAATCCCCCTGGTGTAGAGAGGCGGGTTCCCTCGGAGCTCTCCAATCAGAAGGCAATTCCCTGGGTGGGAATTGCCGGTTGGCAAGCAAGAGGGGCGGAGGGGGGTGCGGGCGAAGAAGGGCCAATAGGCGAGGCTTGAGCTGCGGCTGCCGCAGGCCGAGCGCAGAGGACAGCTTGGGGATTTCCACGACGGCCTTTTAATGGAAGGCGGACCTCAAGGCTAGGCAGGGGGAAGACACCGCTCATTTCCTATAAACAGTGAAAGAGAGGGGGGAATTCCTTGGAGCGAGGTGAGGTGTGCCAACCTACAGCTTCTGACCCACAAGTGGGGGGCGGGGTGTGACGGCAGATTGTGTAGTTAGTTAGTGGGGAGTGGGGTGGTGGTGATGAGGTTCAGTTGGCCAATCGGGAAAAAAACCCGAGCCATTGTGCAGAATAGCACTGCCTGCCCCTCAAAGAGGCGTTTGAACGCACATTACAGACCGGAGGAAGGTAGATCTTGCTAATAAGCTATTAAATGTCACTAGTCCTCATGATTCTCTGTATGCAACCACACGTGCACACCCCCGAGGCTCTTCCCCTATTTTCCCCCATTTCTTCAGCTGCTGCCAGGGAGCTTTCCATCGCATCCAAAGAGTTGTCAACCTCAAGCGCCTCAGGCGCAAACTCAACAGGTCTTTGTTCTTCATCGGCGCCGTTTTAACGCCCTCCTCTGAGCGTCCACCTCGCTGTGTGCCTAGTAGGATGTGGTAGCAGGAATGTAAAAGGTGGTGGGCACCAGGACGTGCTTTTAAATGGGGGAGCGGCTTCGTTCACGCAAGGTGGTGGCGAAAAGGCCTGATCGTGCGCTGCTTAGGACACTCATTTGCCTTCAGATTTGGGAACGAAAACTATGCGGCGCGCGGGTTGGAGAAAGTTGAGAGCGGTCGTCCGGGCAGAGCACAGTTACTTTGAGGTATTGCGATCCAAATCCCACTGCCTTCGAGGGAGACACCTCCTGTTTCCTGCGCCGTGTTGTCTGGAGGAAGCCACATCCTTGAGAATCCCGGGGGTTAATCCGTTGGGTGACAAGCGCACTCTGCCCAGGCCTCGAGGCGCACTCTTCGTTACATAGCAGAATGCCGCCGGCCTGAACTGAAGCCCTGGGCTGCTCGAGGGCAAACCGGGGTCTTTAAAAGAGACCGGCGATCGACGGGTCGCTCTTATAAAGAAAGTGTGCGGGATCCGGGGCCCTTGGGAGAGGCGGATCCGCTGCGGAGTGGGGTCTGGGTGGGAGCAGAGACGGCTTGGGCTGGCTTTAAAGCAGACTCCGTCCTTTTGCCCTTTGCTCTGCGGCCGGCTTCGCCTCCTGCCGGCTCCAGCCTTGGGCTTGGGGGTGCCCAGGAAGGCGGCGGGGAAAAGCGGCGCTGCGCCTTTAACGGGCTCTGCGCGGAGCTCCCGGCAGGAGGCGTGTCTCTCGCTCTAGCTCGCTCGCTCGCCCGCCCGCCTGCCTCGGCTCGGCTGCCTCGGCTGCGGCTCTCCAGTGAGCTCGGCGCGCCGCCTCGGCTCCTCAGCCCCAGAGCCCCGTCCAAAGCCAGCTCCGCTGACTTTTCTCCTCCCCGGCCGCCCTGGGCAGCAGCGGACAAGGTAAGGAGATCTCCCCGATCTGCCCTGGGACGCCAAAACATCCATCTCCCGCTTTGTGTGTGTAGCTAGATCTCTGGGCTTAGAGATACTTCACAGACGAATCATTTCATTTTATTGAGGATTGGGACGCGAGGCGTCACAAAAAGAGCGAAGGGGAAGCAGCAGCACCTCGAAGCGATCGGGATGGATGGGTGGATGGATGGGAGGGAGCGGGCGGGCACTTCTGGGCGCTGCCCGGATCTCTCTCCCCAGCACAGCGAGGCAGGCGGGCGAGAAGATAGACGGGGCGAGCAGAAACTCCGACGGAAGGAGCATCTGTCTTCCTTTCGAGCCACATCTTTCATCCCGGTGTTTATCTCATTCACCTCTTAAGGCAGTTGGATCTCCCCCTCTCTCAATGCCAGGGCTAAGAGCTCACTTACTTTGCAGCAAGTTCAACGGGAATCAGTAGGGCTCCCAATGAAACGTGGCTAGGAGGACGGAGATGCAACTTTGCCTGCTTGCCTATCCATCGCCTCCACTCGCGCTTTGGCAAGGGGGTCGCACACTTCTCCCCACCCCCACCCCGCACTCAAAACTGGTCTTTCGCAACAGACTGTGGTACCGCGGGAAGCCTCCCGCCGCCCTTTCCTAAGCGGAGAGGCTCTCCCTTCGTCCGGAGCTTCGGAGGGGAGTCTCCGAGGTTTCCAAAAACGGAGCTTGAGGCGGTGCGATTCTGCTTCTGCTTCTTTTCCGTGCCCACCCTGATCCGAAAGCTTTTCTTCTCCATAGCAACGACGTGTGTCTGTTTATAATACATCAAATCGCCCAGTTGGAAAGGGGTGGGGGGAAGGAAGAGAGATATACATACACAGAGAGAGACTTGTCATTTAACCAGGGAGCTTAGGGTGCCATCCGCAGCCCATGGGTACTGTGAATGGCACAACTCCCATTTGCCTAGCCCTGGGGAATGCCTCGGAGTTGTACCCTTTGGTCGTGGAGTCCACAGAGCCATGCTAATTTCAAGGGGGCTTTCTTAAGTCGGTGGGTTGCAGTTTTTGGGGTGTCAAAGAAAAAGAGATGCCGGTTCTTTTGCCACCCCCCGATTCGCAAGTCGATTAAGCCCAAGGGCTTGAAACCGATTCCCAGTCCGAGCTAGCACCCAGCAGCTACGCTGAAGAACTTGAGTGGAAACCAATGGGGACTCGGTTGGCTTCAGTCCAGGCACTTCGCCTTGTCTAGGCTGTATATGTGCCAGCCGGCCCCCAGTTGGCTGAGAGCCAGGCATTCCTGTTTAATTGATTTGTAGATCGGGGTTTTAGACTGCCAGGACAACAGTCCTATTCCCCAGCCTCCTCCTGATGATCTAAGAACGAACCGGGACAAACAAAACCGGCTTCCTTAGTGCGAACTCTCCTTAAAGGCCGAATTGCCCCTTCCCCGAGGAAATCGCCCTTTGTGTAATTAGTAATGGTTGTAAAATGTAATAGAGAAAAAAAATAGAGGGAGGCAAAGAATGAAGGATAAAGGAAAGCTTTTTAAATTCCTTTAAACTTTGTGAAGTGAAAGCCTAGTTGGGGTGGGTGGGGAAAAGACATCAGGAGGAGGTGGCGGAGGTGGAGGAGTGATATATGGACCAAATCATAAATGTTTGCATTCGCTGGTTGGAAATATGCTCAGATGTGCACCGCTGTGAAGTCCAAAAAGTGCCTGAACAAGTAAATCTATCATATCCTCGGCTCCTTAATTAGGATGCACGTCTCTTCGGCAGCTAAAAAATTAATTACCACCTTAAAATCCCATTAATCATCGGCGCAGCAGAAACAGGACTGTGAATCTGGGCTCCGCTAATAACCGGCAACCGGGGAACCTCTTGCTTTAGTGGCTGCTGGTGGGAGTGAAGGAGTGGGCCGGGATGTGTTTTCTGAACTGATAATATCAACATTCATTTGAGTGCTTTGGCAAAGGGCGCACGGGGAGGTGGGGGCAGAGGGAGGCCCAGCTTAGCCTACTATGAGCTTAGCTCAGCAAAGCTACAAGAGATGTCTGCGCGCGCGCGCGCGCGCGCGCGCACACACACACACACACACACACGGAATGCTGGTCAGGTGTTGCAAAAAACCCACCCAGGCCTTTATTCAGAACAGCAGGATAAGAAATCTGATGGGAGCTGGCAGAACTAAAAGGCCTGTTTGTTGGAGTAGGGCTGCTTGTGGGGAATAGAAGTTCAAGAGTCAACATTTGTCAAAGGCCTTGTCTAAATTCACTGAGAGCTTTCAAACAGTGAGGGGGAAATTGAATTTTCCAAGGCCCTTCTCCCAATCCCTAGAACCAGATGGTAGACGAAATCACCTTGACCTGCAGCTAGGAAGCCTCTCTGCACCCCCCGCCAAGCTTTCAAATCTCCTTCCAGTAGAAAGAGTATTTTTAAAGAAACCTGACGTGGGGGAAGCAGATTAGTGAATGTGCAATTAATGCCAACGAAACTCTTAGCTTATTCAGGAATACTGCATCAGAAGAATTGCTTTATTATCCAGGGCATGCGTTTTTAGATTGGTTTCATATTATTCGCCACCCAGCTTTCCGTGCTTGATATATGTATTTTCATTTCCACTTCACCTGCGCTGTGACCTTGGATAGCGAAAAGATGTTCCTGCTAGACAACGTATGGCGAAGAGGTAGAGTAAATCAAGATGCACAACAGGAAATTGAGTATTTAAAGCTCCCCCTCCCCAGCAACTCTCTGGTGGTGAAGGGCGGGGTCGCAGTTAAATAGGTTCCAGGGAACCACTGTCAGAAAAGAGACCTATTAACAGGCCAAGTCATAATCAGCTTCCTCGGCGAAATGCCATAAAATCAAAGCTCTTAAACCTTGGGACTATGTTGAGGAAAATGCCAAGGGGGAAACTCTGGGTACTTCTGGTGTGTGTGTGTGTTTAATTAATAATGCACAGTGTTGTTAATAGATAGATAGATAGATAGATAGATAGATAGATGATAGATAGATGTTGGTAAATAAAGACTGAAATGCCAGCTGCAGCCTTACTTAGCAAAGGGCAATGGAGATGGTAATTTCCAAAGCCGAAATTAATTATATATTTCAGAAAAGGCCTGACTCCTCAGGGAGCAATTCGAAACCATTACAATCAACCAGCCATTAGCCATTCACATTGGTGGGAGGTGGTTTTCTGCCCTGAATGTGGCCAGTCGATTTTTCTGTACTTTCTAAACAGTTGGTGGACCAAAGACATGCATTGTGGTATAACTGTGCATTGAAGAACAGAGATCGGGAGGGCTGGCGGGTTTGGGTTTTTTATAGCACACTGAAAGGAAGTGAGTTTTCATAAAATATAGGTAAGACAATCAAAACAGTCGAGGATAATCAAGGCAGAGACTGCATTGAATTATTTGAACTATGCAGTCAGATTGCAGGTTTAAAATATTTTGCTTGTCTCTTTGTTTTGAAGCCTTGGGAGGGGGGATAATTTATTTTCCTGTCCAAATGGACAGGAAAATGCATACACGCTGCTATGCATAGATATAAGCGCCTCGTTGCCAAATCCATTAAAGGAGTGTGGTGCTGTCCGTGGTGCTGAAAAGGAGAGGGACCGTTTCTTCTACTAAATTTCTTCAGTACAAGTTCGGTAGCTGTCCGTGGTGGTGGTGATACCTTTCTGCTTCACAAGCATCAGACAAGGGTTGGAGGCGAAGACGAACGTTGCAAGATTTTAAAAATTGCAATATCTTATTTCGATGTTTCTCTGGTCGGATGACAATGCGGCAAACCTCCTAAAATGCAGGTGACTGGGAGGAAGAGGTGGGGAAGGAAAGAAGATGAATAAAACCTTCCGCTTTAACAAGAGATTCCCTCTCAAGTCTAGTATTAGCTGATATGTAAGCCAAAGGTTACAGTGGAAATGGTAAACGCTTTAAAAATAAAATAAAAGAGCAGCTTTAAATCCTGAACTTGTATAGTTTTCAGTGATCCAATGTCTTCATGTCTAGAGACACCTGATAGGCTTTATATCAGTTCCTTAAAGTATGAAGACACTTCTTAATACTTTCAGAAACTGGGTTGCACACTCTCTTATTCAGTTGATCTTGCTCCAAGTAAAGCAAATGAGCAGCAAATCCAGGAAACAGGCTATCTCAAAGGCACGTTTGCCGGCGAGATATTCCAACTGCACACTGAAGGAGTCGCTAGATATCCTTGTTTTCAGCATTAGGTACTTCTTCCTCCCTGCAAGTGCTCCAGTATAGTCAGATCGTTTGATTGAATTGCCTGCTAGACTGCAGAAGTAGCCATTCATGATACTTGTTTTTGACACAGGAGTTAGATTTGCATCTTAAAAAAACAAACCCAAAAAACCCAGCGATGTTTAGTTATCCCTTAGTAGCAGGTAGGTTTCAGTCGGCACTTCGAAGTAAACGTGTGCAGAGGAATGTCAGTGCCTGTAACAATGGAAAGTTACTCGGATTTGCTATCCATCCTATAGCACGAGCTTCTGACAGTCACAGGTCCAAATTAAAATAGATGCATTAAGGCTGCAATTCTATTCAGACTTCTCTGGGAGTAAGTCCCGGTAGACCAGTGAGTAGGATCGGAAGTATGTAAGCCTATTTCTTGATACAGTTGGAACTAGAGAACTTGGTCCTAGATCCATTTGGATAAATAGTCAGTTTTCCCGCAGGTATAGGTGTATGCTTCACTTAAATAAGATCTCGGCCGTCTTGATTGATAGAATCTCTCTTTTAGACATTCTACTGCATTAAAGTGGGCTAGCCTCCAAACAGAAGATTAATCTCCATTCATTTTCGTATGGAGATAATAGGAATGATCTCCCCCACCCTGTCTCACGTAGTTAGTAGTCTGATTCATTGAAGACTTTCCATTAGGGTTATATAAAATGCTGGCTTCTCCTCTACCAATGTGTTTTAATGACTCCTCAAAGGTTCAAATCCCCCACTTTTTAACTTTTTTAAACCTCCCCCTCCTTGTGTAGAAAATAAGGGAGGGGGGAACCTGCCACCATTGACACTAGTGAATAAATATTTTAATAGGTGGTGGTGGTAGTGGGTAGTTAAAGCAAAGTGATTGAAACGATAGCTACTTAAGAAGGCAAATATCTTCTGCTCCAGCGAAGGCTACAAACTGCACACCACTTACACTGGCACAAGCCCAGTCCTTATATATCAGTGGTACTACTCGGAAGTAAATAGTTTGGGAACTGGGAAACAGAAAGCTTTCATTTCAACAGACTGTATATTCCAGTTGTGTTGTAAGTACTGCCCCCCCCAAAGGGGAGGCATTTTAAAACAGAGAGCCTTCGCAATGCTATTAGCCATATATTTTTAAAAATGAGGGACGTCTCGAAAAAATAATCCATATCTCATCCACTCATTATTATTTCTGGGTGCACTGTGTAGGTCCTTCAGCGGAGTATAAATTTTTAGTCCTAACAATTCCTGTCCTAACCTAGATGTTTAGTGAGTCAGTGATAAAGTTACTATTGAAGGAAATGAGCATTTGATGGGCATAAACAGTAGAAAGTGAATGAGAATGTCCGGACATATGGAAAGAAGAAAAACCTGTTTGTGGATATGTTTTGAAACAATAATAACGTCATCGCCCCCACCTCCAGCTCTTAAACGAAGTGCTGTCTCCCCAGCCAGCCATTCAAAAATTAATACTGATAGTATCTGTCTCTCTCACCCAAAGGCTGCAATTCTAACTCCACTTACCTGGGAGTAAGCCCTACTGAAATCAATGGGGATTACTTCTGAGTAGCCATGGTTAGGATTGCAGCATGCAATTTGGTTGTATTGAAACAGATCCGCAGCCAGTTCAAGACTTTGCCCTTAGTTCCCCTGTAGTTCTGTTGGGGCTGTGCTGACGGACCATTGTCCAGACTGGGGGCTTGGGCTCAGAGGAGCCAGCATTGTGAACACCTGAAGTTGAGCCAGGCACCAACCCAGCCACATTCTTTTTGGGTTTAACTAGGGCTACGAGCCTGGTGCGTGTCAATCTCCTTCCATGGGCGTTCTGCCCAATAACTCCCGGGGCTTCAGATCGGACACCCAGACGGAGTCGCAGACCTCCTTCTGCTCCTTTCCCAGAACACGGCTGGAGCTTATTGGAAGAGAACCATCAGAATGTTAGGCACGTCATGCAGCCAAGTTGGAATAATAATAATAATAATTTCCAAGAGGCGATGGGATCGGTTGCATAAGAGGCCCGGGGAAGGCTTGTGCGGCTGGCAGCCTTAAGGCAAGACAAGCTCTCTCGCTTTCTCGCACTTCATCTTGGCTGCGCGTCAGAAGCCGTGCAGCAGTGCAGCAGAAGGGGAGCCCAACGGCCAGGCGAGTGCCCGCCTCTCGCTCGGCAGCGGTTTCGCAAGCTTGGGTTGCCGATTGATTTCTCTCTCTCTCTCTCTCTCCCCCCACCCGCTCCTCGTCTTTCTCTCTCTCTCCCCCCCCCCCCCCCATCTCTTCTCGCCTGCCTCCTAGGTTCGCCCGACTGGCCACGGCGCCTGCCTATGCCTGCCCGTGTGTGCGCGCTCGGGTGCGCGTGTGTGCGTGTGTGTGTTTGGATTTCTCGAGGATCCTCTCCCCGCCCCGCGCTCAGCCCGACGACCATGGATGTCCCACCATTCCTTGCAGTTGAAGGTTGCTCCTTGGCGCAGTGAATGAAGATCATGCAGGGATTGCTAATGGCTTTGGGAAGCGGAGAGCCTCTCCCTTCGGTGTGACCATGCCGTGATCGCGTCTCCGGGCCAAACACTTCCGCGGCTCCGCAAGCTCGTGGAAACCGACCGCAGCGGCGGGGCTGGTGGCGGCTGCTGGTGGCGGCGGCGGCGCTGCTGGGGGGACAAAAAGCGGACGCTTGAAGCGAAGGGGGCCAAGAGGAAAAGCGGCGCGTGTGTGCGTAGGAAACACCATGAAGATTATTTCCCCGATTCTAACTCATCCAGTCTTCAGAGGCACCATTCGGCTCCTGCTTTGCTTACTGTGGATTGGATATTCCCAAGGAACCACGCATGTGTTGAGATTCGGTAAGGCGGCTTTCCCTCCCTCCCCCCCACCCCCCGTAACGTTTGCTGGCATCTCTATGTTTCCCGAGGATTTTGCCAAGGAAGGAGGGGGCAGGTTGAAAGGAGCGGGGAAACGCGGGTGGGTGGGTGATGGAGCTACTTCCGGGCTAACACGAGTATGTTTTTGTCTCCTCCCGATTGTATTAAGGCGCCAATTCCAGCCTTCGCCTTCGCCTTCTTTTCCCAGCGGCCGCAAAGCAGAGCGCGGTCGCCCCGGTCTCGATAATCCTAGGGAACTGACTAGCGCCCGCCCCAACCAAGGCGGGTCTGGGCTGGTCTTAAACCCAGCTTGCTTTGTTGCTGCCTCTTTTGGAGTTGCCACAGTGCGGGTGGGAAGCCTCTGAGTCTGGAGGGCCGTTGCTGTGTTCATAGTTGGCAGTTGCCACAAATGCCACCCCCATCCTCACCCCGGCAGTCTCTGCCCACCGAGATGCCAAATGCCAGGGCAAGGTTGCTGACCACAGCCCTGGAAGGAAGGTCTCTCCGGCGCTGTGTCTCCTTTAACGTTTGTTTACTAGCAGTTAAGGGGCCTTTGAATTAGGAGGGATCAGGCCGTTTGATAACAGAGGAAATTAGGAAACTGCTTTTCAGGTTCTAGCCCCCACCCCTGAGCCCCTCAAATGATCAGCGAACTGGGAGCTGGTAATGATTTCTTCGTTGACTCAGAGAGTGCGATCCACGCACCACGCAAGCCAAATGTCCTGCTTTTAAAGAAGCGTGACTGATGCCTACAGGTGCCATCCACATCCCATCCAAGTCAATGGAGTAACTTCCGCTGAGAATGATCTTCGAGCACACCCGTTTACTCGCGAGTAGGTGGCTGCAAGGCGGGTTGTGGATCACGGGGTGAAGTTTCTTGCCCTCAACACGCCACTCTTGTTCCATGGGGGTTGGTAGAGTGTTTTCCGAGTGAGTGATTGATTGATTGATTGATGGATCGTGGCCAAAGAAACTCTCGAAGTTTCAGGAGCCTGCCGGAGATTCAGATACCACCACTGAATCTTAGACTTGCTCCCCGACAGTTCTTCTTTATAAGCTGTCCTTTAACCATCTTTGTGGACCCCAAAATGTGGACTGTCAGGGTAGAGGAGAAAGGTGTCCACCAGCCACGCTGCAAGGTCAGGGTTTTGTTGTGAATCTCCCAGAGCAACGTTGTCCGAGTAAAGTTATTCCAAAGTTAAGCGAGAATTAAAGCAGACAAAGAGCAGGAAGCAGCAAACCTTGCAGGTGTTCACGACCCAGTCCTAGAGAGTGTGTAATCCCATTGAAGCCAATGTTGAACTGAACAGTTCTGGATTTCATGCCGTGGTGTTTGACCAAAGTACTAGTGAGATATGGATGAGGCTTGGGGCAGGGGAGGGTGGCGAGAGCGCGAGGAGTTGCTGTCCCAAGCGAGAGGCGTCCTTAATTTCCCATAGAAGCAATCCTTCTCGCCAACCATCATTAAACATTTCCACTCCGGTGGAGTCCCTGGGGACTCTTTGGTTTCGCTTGTTTAAAACCGGAGGAAATAAATCTGGGTGTCGTAAGAGAGGTCGGTCCTGATTCCAAAAGCAGCGGGTTGGTATTGATCAGCTGTGTTGGATTCTGAGTCCCCCCCCCCCCCGTGATTTCTAAAGCAAGCACGTTGCTCTTAGCAACCATCTTCAGGAATGCCTGGATTCCTTTGAATAAAGCTCAAGATGGTCCGGGGGGGGGGAGGTGGGATGGCTTGAACTTCAGGGAAGTCTGACCTGTAGCTCGTGGAAAGCAGCGGGGAGCTGTCTGTTGTTTGTAACAGGAGGCACGAGTCCCTGTTTATGACCGAACGGTGGGATCCGCTGGGCTGTGAAAGTCAATGCGCTGTTCCTCACGCCTTTCCCAAAAGATCCTCTCTGAGTGAATGGAAGGTGCCTTGCCAGGGAATTCCCCCTCTCCCCGTGCTGGTTTGTTCCAATGAAGCATTGACTTAGAAGAACGTTGTTGATCGATCAGACAGTAGAGGTGACGCCCCCTCTTTCTAAAGGCACACGTAGACTCTGCGCACCTATCAATCCCTCTAGAGTTTAGACGGCAAGGAATATACTACTTCCAAAGTAACGGCCCAATTGTGCACAGACATACTTGGATTAGAACCATGTCATCCCACTGAGTCCAATGCGTGTGTGTTTGAAATCAGTTTAAATCCCATTGCTTCATTTTAACAGGATTGTGGAACAGGTTGGTACTCTCACTTCCCAAACTATTTTCTGCTTCCTCCAAAAAATAATCTGCTAGGGCTGAAGACCGCGTGTAGGTTTAGAATCTCAGAGTTTATCGCTCGTCCCGTCCTCCGTCCCCCCCGCCAGCTAAGCAGTTACATTTTATTGGAGGGAGGGAGCAAAGGTTGCGCGAGATGCGAGGCCTTTGATTGCCAGCTGTGCCCAATGCCTAATGCTGCCAGGAAATGCCTGATGGCTTTTATCGAGGCATTCCAGTGTGTGTTGGGGGTGGTATGCGTGTAGAGGCATAACTCGGAGCGATGATGGAAAACAGAAATAATTGGGGGTTAGCTGAGCGACAAGGAACTGGATTCTGAGATCCTCAACCGCTGTTGTACGGCTCCCGCTTTCTATCTCCTCTGTGGAACCAGAAGGGGATCAAGAACCAGCAAAAAACCCGCACCCTCTTCACCTCTAGCTACTGTGATTGGCATTTCCCGCGGGGTATACCTCTCTTTCCGTGTTGCCTCTTTTACGCGCGAAAGTTTAGGTGGATCACAATCTGTGAGAAGCTGTTGCTACCTGGTAATTAACGCTCCATCAGAAGCGTTCAGCCAGTTCGGGCACAGCAAGGCCAAGCGATACAATGGAAGACCCTGCTTGGGTCGCTGCCTCAGTTTGCTGGAGCTCATTATGATGGCACAACAAGCAAACGGCCAAGTTTGTGGCGGGCGGCCTCTGCACAAATGTATTATCTAGCGACACGCAGGCAAGTTTCTTACTTTACAGTCTGCCCGAAGGGAGAGATACCTTAAAAAGGGCTTCAATGGAGATTCCTGCGCTTTTGGGTTCTGGACTTTGCACAGTGAGAGGAGACGCCGATAAGAGGGTCATTGCAGGAGCATTGCTGCACATTTCGGTGAAAATCTCGCATTGGCGCTCCCTGTGTTAAACAAATAAGGAGGAAATCGGAAGCATATATTTTTATTTTTATTGCGTTGGATGCAGAAATGTTCTGTTGGGGCATAGCTATGGGGGCCTGAGTACCCGTATCTCAAAGGACTTTCACTGATTTTATAAATCTAGGCTTTTGGAAGGTCTTTTCCTTCCACAATGTGCTAGGGAATACATTTACTTAACATTGATTTGTCCAATAATTACTCATCACAGAAGAACGCCTTGAACACACAAGGATATCGTTTCAGTACCACGGTCAGTTCCCGGAGTTTCTGATCGTCCTGGTCTGTGTTCTCTTTTGAGCACCTCGCTATGGAAAGGTTGTTTTGTTCATCCAGCTTCTTGTTATGTGGATTTGCAGTTCTGCAAGCTGTATATCTTAATGAATTCTATATTCTTGAGTCTTTGGGCCATAGCAGTTTAACTTCTGGAAGAAATTTCCTTTTGAAATGAGTGGGACGCCAAACCTAAACACATATTTACTTTCTTCCTGGTAACTATTGTGTACGTTATGCCTGCTGGTTTGATTGGAAGGATCCAATGGGCTCTTTGTTCCACTCAGGTGCCCAAATCAAATGAGCATCACAGGGTGCAAGCAAGACTTGCACTTCCATCTTAAAAGCATATCTTAAAACTTGAGCTGCCTCTTCATTAGTGACAACATAATTCATTGTGTACATTTTATTCAATTGGAAAGATGTTTACATTTGCCTGCATTCACATATGAGTAAAGCAATAGCTCTGAGGAATATAGGAAACTGTGGGGTTTTTTTTTTGCTTTTGGAAGATGTATCAGTGTTGCTGTAGCCACCATCTTGGAACAGGCATACTCTCTTTAGTGTGTGAGAGAAGAGTGAATGATCCTTTTAAGATTGTGCTTTCTGCCTACAGCTTTCATAGATCTATCTATCTATTTAAAAAAAATCTCTCTCCTGTTCCTCCTGATTAATAGGATGAAATATTTTTAGTTTATGAAAAACTTTAAACAATTAATTTAATGAATTAATTGATTAAACATTGCCCTAAAGGAAAAGGTAAAGGGACCTCTGACCATTAGGTCCAGTCACGAACGACTCTGGGGTTGTGGTGCTCATCTTGCTTTACTGGCTGAGGGAGCTGGCGTACAGCTTCCGGGTCATGTGGCCAGCATGACTCAGCCGCTTCTGGCGAACCAGAGCAGTGCACGAAAACGCCGTTTACCTTCCTGCCAGAGTGGTACCTATTTATCTACTTGCACTTTGATGTGCTTTTGAACTGCTAGGTTGGCAGAAACAGGGACCAAGCAACAGGAGCTCACCCTGTCACGGGGATTCGAACCGCCAACCTTCTGATCAGCAAGACCTGGGTTCTGTGGTTTAGGCCACAGCATTGCCCTACTTAACAGTAAATCTCACTGTTCCTACTGGTAAGAGTGATTAGAATAGTAACTTCAGTAATCAGTCTGCTGCAGGGGTTTGCCATATCTTTGGGCCTGTGGACACATTGGCAAACTGAGGAAACTATCACAGGCACTCTGCAACGAGGCATGCACCACAACCTATTTGATTGGCTACTGGAGAATGCTTGTTTCAAGCTTAATTGAAGCAGGGGCAGGGCATCCTGTGGGCACCAGGGAAGGTCTCTGTGGGCCCATGTGGATGGTTCATGGTGTATTGTATGTAAAAAATTTGAAACAGGTCAGAGGGGCAGTGCAAGCACCACCGCTTCAAACAGGAAAATCAAACAGTTTCCAGTAAGGATATGTAATAACTGAAAAGGACACCTAGTAGCTTCTTGGAGTACTGCCTGTTTCTTATTTGGTGTACACACAATTACATTTTTAGA